TCCTCTTTCTTCTCCTCCTCCTCCTCCTCGTCCTCCTCCTCCTCTTTCTTCTCCTCCTCCTCGTCCTCCTCCTCCTCCTCCTTCTCCTCTTCGTCCTCCTCCTCCTCTTCATCCTCCTCTTCCTCCTCTTCCTCCACCTCCTCTTCCTGCTCCTCCTCCTCCTCCTCCTCCTCCTCTTCCTGCTCATCCTCCTCCTCTGGGTCTCGCAGGAGTGGGTCCGAGTAGTTAGATGGGGCCGAAGACGGTCGGGCCGCATCGCCGATTTGCATCGGCGATGCGGGTCGATGTGGAGTCCAAATCTCTCCGCGCAGATGGCGCCGACCCAGACATGATCGCGTCGTAACAAAAATCAGGACGGGAGGGTGGCCCTCGCCGGGCCCCGGGAGCGTCAAAAAGCGACGCAGGACGAAAAACCGGTCCCGGGGAAGGGTCGGGATTTCCAGGGACGCCGTTCTGGAAAGATCAGGACGTCGCATGTCTGGGGATGCATCGCCGACGTCGCCGATGCATTGCCGTGGAGCAGGCTGGGGGCCCAGACGAGGGCGGCTCGGCTCCGAAGAGGACGAGGGGGGCCGAAGACCCAGAGGTGAGCACCGGAGGCTTCGGCAGCGAGCCCGTGGGGGTGCAGGGAGGAGTGGCGGGCCTCCTCAGAAGGCTCGGAAGGCCTCGGGACTGCTGAGAGGTTTCCCTACGCCTACCCCGAAGACGCAGAACACTTCTCAGAAGGCCGGAGGGCTTCTGAGAAGCCCCGCCGCCCACTGACCAGGCCTGCTCCTTCTCACCTTCCCCCCGTGCGCGCCGCCGAAGGTTGGCACCGGCACCCTGGAGCCGTCTGGGGGTCTGAGGTATCCCAGCACTCGTTCCGGCGAGCAGGGGGGGGGGGGCGAGGTTCGAGGCGCTGGGCTCTGGATCGAGTAGGGGATCGATTACATAATATGTTTACCCCAAGACTGATTCTTTCGTGCGAGACAATCCTTAGAAGTCCCAGTAAATTTGCGAAAGTTCTGCGCGTTCGTCGTAGAATCGATGGGGATAAGGTAGTCTGGGGTAAGTCAATTCTGCCGTCGATCCCCTACTCGACGGGAGGGTGCTTGGCCTGTTTCGGCCTCCGCGGGGCCGTTTCCGGGCCATGGGACCGTGAGGATCCAGGGGGAAAACTGCGCCAGATGGACCCCGTGGGGGGTTGGGGGAGCGACTTTCGGCGGATGCTTCATCCCCCTTCCTGTCAGATTTTTGTTGGGGGACTAGTTAAGCATCGTTTAACCGATCCCTATCCCCTTCTTCATCCCCGTCCAGATCCGCACCATCCCACCACCCTAGTTGGGGACATGCGCCTCGAAACTCGACGCGAACAGCCTACACCCCCATCTAGGTGGATAAATCGGCCAGTGTGGCCCAGACCAAGCCCGTGGGATAGAGATCGGGTAAACGATGCTCAGGGACCCAAACAGCTTGGAACCCCCGGCCGCCTCCAACAAACACCAGTATCGGCGGTAAGCCTTCACCGAGGGAAGATCATCCCGATCTCGGTAATAGGGGGTCATGTCGGCGGTTCCTGGGCGGCCGAAAGTCTACTACCAACAGCATAATCTTGGATCATCCAGTGAACGCCCCCCAACGTGTTGGTGTCTGCGCCCGTTTGCAAGCCTCCACGAGGAGGAGCCCGGCGAGGGCGACGAGGAGGAGTCGGGGAGCGCCAACTGGACACCTCTGCATCCCTCAGACCCCTGAGCTGCATTTGTTTCAAAACGGGCGTTTTCGCCCGGTTTCGGGCCCCGGGACCTTCGCTGAACGATTCGCCTAGAACAAGTTTTGAGAACGATGTGTGGTCTCAGGCTCTGGCTTTGATTTTTCGCAATGGTGCAATTTTCTTCCACGTCAGATCTCATGGACGGTCCTCTGGACGTCTATTGGACCTGTGTGAGTGTGTGGTTGTGTGAGTGTGTGAGTGTGTGAGTGTGTGAGTTTGTGAGTATGTGAGTGTGTAAGTGTGTGAGTGTGTGAGTGTGAGAGTTTGTGAGTGTGTGAGTGTGTGAGTGTGTGAGTGTGTGAGTGTGTGAGTGTGGGAGTTTGTGAATGTGTGAATGTGCGAATGTGTGAACATGTGAATGTGTACATGCGTGCATGTGTGAATGTGTGAATGTGTGCGTGTGTGAGTTTGTGAGTGTTTGAATGTGAGAATGTGTGTATGTGTGAACGTGTGGATGTGTGTGTGTGTGTGTTTGCCCCGCGCAGCTCCGCCGTTCGCGCGCAGCCTGAGCCGGCCCTCATCACGCCGCCTCCAGCGCCAGCGTGCAGGGTCGAGCGCTGCCGGTGGCCGGGGAGTCGAGCGATCTGCGCCAGTGGAAAGCCGCGATTGTTCGACGTTGAAAGATCCACGCAGTGTCAGCAGTCAGCGCCGACCTCGTCGCGGCGTGAGTTTGCCGTGCCACCCGTCATGGCCGGGCCCATCCTTGGCCCAGGATCGATGCAGACTCCCTCTGTCGAGTAAGTTGGGCGACGCAAACGAAATAATTCGGGGGTTCCACGCGGAATTCTTGGATCGGCGCTCGAGCCCACTTCCTGGCGCTCGAAGTGCACCAGGGTTGGCGCCAGACGCGCCGCCAGGGGGTCAAGCGCCAATCCCAGAAATCCGCTCCGACCGTTTAAAAGTTCACCAGGAAGTTGGATGCCGTCGGACCGAGGTGTCAGATCGAGGTCGGTTCGGGGAGGCTGTCTGTTGGATGCTCTTGTGCAGCCTGACGTCCTTCGTGTCTATTGGATGTTCTTGTGCATCCTGGGGAGGGCACCCTTGAATGTTCTGTTTGTTTTGGCCGACGGAGGGTCTCATGTTCGTGAAGGATGTTCTTCTGGCCTAGGTCCGACTCTGCGCACGACGTGGTCGGCCTGGGCGGAGGAGGAGGAGGACGAGGAGGAGGAGGGGGAGGAGGAGAAGGAGGGGGAGGAGGGGGAGGAGGAGGGGGAGGAGGAGGAGGAGGAGGAGGAGGAGGAGGAGGAGGAGGAGGAGAGGAGGAGAGGGAGAGGGAGGAGGAGGAGGAGGAGGAGGAGGAGGAGGAGGAGGAGGAGGAGGAGGAGGAGGAGGAGGAAGGAGGAGGAGGAGGAGGGGGAGGAGGAGGAGGAGGAGGAGAGGAGGAGGAGGAGGAGGAGGAGGAGGAGGAGGAGGAGGAGGAGGAGGAGGAGGAGAAGAAAGAGGGAGGAGGAGGAGGAGGAAGGAGGAGGGAGGTGAAGGCGACGGCGGAGGAGGAGGAGGAGGAGGAGGAGGAGGAAGGAGGAGGAGGAGGAGGAGGAGGAGGAGGAGGAGGGGGAGGAGGAGGAGGAGGAGAAAAAGAAGAATACAAAGGAGGAGGAGGAGGCGAGAGTGTGGTACACGTGTGGCGGGACGATGCCTCTCCCGCGCGCGGCCCTCCCATAGCTGGGATTTCGCGGCCATGCCCAGCGCGTTCGGCCTCCATGGTGTTCCGCATGGGATGCGAAGAATGTAAAACGCGGCCGCGTCCGCTGGCGGAAGGGCGGCGGAGGATGGTGGAAGCAAATGCTGCGCCCCCACGCGATGCCAGGATGTTTGGGCTCAGGGTTTTTGGAATCCGCCATGCGAGCGATGCAACAAACACGGGGTCGTCTGCGCCAACATTGACGCGTAAGCTGCCCGCGTGAGGTCGCGCGCAAGCGCCCTTCATCTTCAGTGTGGCGTGCCGCGCTGGCGGCCCGCGCAAGCCGCGGCGTATAAGGTCGCTGCGCCATCTCGTGTAAGACTCGTTTCTTTCCGTCGCCCATGTGTGCTTCCAGCTTCCTGGGAAGTGTGTCTCTGCACTGGTTTTGCTCCTCGGCCCCCCTCCTCCTGCTCCTCCTCCTCCTTATCATTCTTTATGCGGGTATGTACAGGATTTGGCAGAGGGCTTTTCGCGCCATCGTTCAGAGCATGCATGATACGCTGGATCGAAGATACTGGGGCGCATGCAAAGGACGATCGGCGATAGACTGCGCATGGGCTCAAGCAGTGCGTTCAGAATCTGATCAGATGACGCACAGATATGGTATTGTTTTCATTGCTGGCTGGTCTAAGTACTACGAGACCATCCCTCTGGAAGTTCTGAAAATGAAGTTTCTTCGTCATGGAGCGCCCACGTGCTGGCTCGAACTGGTGTTCAATATGTGGCTGAGCCCCAGAGTGATCAGACTCGGCCGACATCACTCAGATGAAGTTCTCTGTGCTCGGCTTGGATCACCAGCTGGCGATGCTTACGCTGACTTAGCCGTCAAAGTCAACACCGTGGACGCTTTTGACATGATGATAACTAAGTCGCCGACGATAGATTTCCATACTTACATTGACGATTCAGGCCTCCACAATTCTTCTTCCGATTTCGACATAGCGAAAGGTACGGCAGTGGAGGGCATTCAGCATTTCTTCGAGGCCAGCAGGCAGATCAACGCCACCCTGAACGCCGAGAAGCTCGCGATCATCTCGACGCACCCGGCCTTGGCTGCAGCCGTGTGTGACGAGCTCGAGCTTCCGAGGTCGGTGATCAAGCCCAGTGTGTCCTACCTGGGTGTGGACGAGTCTGCTGGTGCAGTTCGGCGACGACAACGAGTGCGACTGAAGCAGCAGTCGAGGTTTGTTGCGATGAGAAAAAGGATCCGAAAGGTGCGAACCATGAGGAAAGGGTTCAAAGGTCCCAAGGAGATCCCACTCAGGAAGATAAATCGCCAGGGTGTGGCCCCTGCGAGCAGTTTTGGAGTTGAAATCCAGGGACTTTCTGAGTCTGAGTGGCTAGCACACCAGCGTTTGATGAGTAGTTCAGATTCTCCCTCGCACGGTGGAGTTTCACTTTCACCGAAGGTAGGTTTAAACGGTGATCGTAGCACGAGATTCGCTGTGGCGCCCGCAATCCAATGGTGCAGGATGGTGTGGTCAGCTGCGACTCGCCCAGAGCACGCCCTTGTAAAGATGGCTGAGCTCGTGTACCTCTGGGAATTATGTCAGCCCGCCAGTTGTAAAA